GTTTTCCTCAATAGTTAGAGCATCGGCCTGTGGACTGACGGGCCTCAAGTTCAATTCCCAGTCAAGGGCATGTACCTTGGTTGCAGGTTCCCCAGCCCTGGTAGGGGAGCATGTGGAGGCAACCATTCCATGTGTCTATCTCACGTGGATATTTCTCTCTCTCCCTCTCCTCCCTCTCTTCCACTTCTCTAGAAATCATTAGAAAAAATATCCTCTGGTGAAGATTTAAAAAATAAAAACAATCCAAAGTCCACTGGAACTCTACATTTATAAGATGATTATAAAGATTTTAAAATTACATATATAAGTTATGGACGTGTGTAGATTTGCAAATTTTATAAAACTGTGTACATATCAATTTTGGCAACACAGTTTCATAATGATTGGAATATATAATTCCAACATTTATTTTCAAATGTTCTTTAATTAGCACAAGTTTTGATATAAAGTAATTACTTGCTCACTCATCATAAATGAACCGAGATCTGAATTCTCATACACTGCTGGTGGAAATATCAGTTGATACAAGCTCTTGGGAAAATTGTTTGAAAGTATCTACTAAGGCTAAACATATGTGTAAATGAAAGTGTATACTAGAGCTAATTATATGACCTAGTATTTCTGCTTTGGGATTAATGCCCAACATAAATGTGCCCTTACAAGTAACACATTAATAAGAATGTTTAGAACAGCCATGTTCACAATAGCCAAACACTGGAACCAACCCAAAAGACACCAGGAGAATGTTCATTCTCATTATACTGTAGTATTACACTTTTATAAAAATAAAATACTATAATTTTTGCCCTGGAACAATGTAACTCAGTTGGTTAAGTATCATCCCATGCACTGAGAGGTTGCTGGTTCAATTCCCCGTCAGGGCACATGCCTGGGTTGTGGGCTCAGGGGGGTGTGCAGGAGGCAGCCAATTGATGTTTCTCACTCTCCCTATTCCTTTCTTCCTTTCTCTCTCTCTCTCTCTCTCTCTCTCTCTCTCTCTCAAATCATTTAAAACATATTTGTTTTAAAAAGCACAATTTTAATGTAAAATATTTTTTGAATAAATGGCATGGAAGAATCTCACAGATGTAAGGTCAAGTAAAAGGAGTCAGGCACAAAAGAACACATACTGATTCTATGTGTATTACAGAATATCATGGAGAGTCTCCCATTCGGAGATCTTTTATAAAATTAGCCATACCATTGCCATGGCCAGGTAACTCGGTTAATTGGAACGTCATCCCATACACCAAAAGGTTGCTTGTGAGTTCAATTCCTGGTCAGGCACATACCTAGGTTGTGCGTTTGATCACTAGTCAGGATGCATACCAGAGGAAGCCAATCAGTGTTTCCGTCTTTCTCCCTCTCTCCTTTCTAAAATCTGTCTCTAAAATCAATAAACATATCCTCGGATAAGAATAAAAAAATTCGCCATACCATCTTTTTTTAAAAATTACAGTTTACATTCATTGTTATCTGTACTAGTGGCCCAGTACACGAATTTTTGCACATTGAAAGGAAATTAATTATAAGAAATATTTTAATATCGCTATTCGCCCTTTCTCTGTAATAGAAGTGTCAACCAAATTCACGATCGACAATGACAGATTGAAACACACATGTGCGATTGGCACTAGCGAGAGCTTTATATATATCGCGCATGCACGAGTCAACTTAGCCTTTTGTAGATATAGAATAAACTTGCTTAATTAGACCTGCTTTCTGATTTAGCTAAACCTTTTCCAGCCCTGTGAAGCATCTCAACTCCTCTTTCAGGTAATTGTCAGCAACACAGCAGTAAATATCAACACGAAGCAGATTATTGTAGATCACGCAGGGAGAACAAAGGGTAAAATATTTAACTGCAGCAGGGTTTGACTATATTCTGTGCAGTGAAAAAACCTGAAGTCATTTTCAAGGTCCACCATTTCTTCTTTTCATTCAGGTCAAGTTTCTAAATCTCCATTTTCCAGCTAATGAAAAGAAAATAGGATTCTACCGAGTCTCCTATCTAGCTGCTCCAGGACTTCTGTGAGGATCAAATGAGATGAGGCATGGGAAAACATTTCACAAACATTTGGTTATAGTGTAAAATGTTTCCACCTGGCTATAAAGCAAGTCATGTTCCTGGGATGAAGAAACTACAAGACTAGTCGCTAGGGATAGGAAGCAAGGCCTTGCTACCTGGCACCCACAGCCACCGTTGCTGGGCTGGGCTGTGGGCCATAGTTTGCGCCATGAGGTCTCGGCAGCATCAGCAGAGATTTGGTTGGCTGTTGCTCCTGGGTGGTGGTGGGGCCTGTGTCCCACTTGGGGGAAGCTGAGTGTTGCTTTGTGGGTGCCAGGTCCGTGGTGCCATTTCTCTGTAAATAGCCAGTGCATGTCACAGCAGCTCCTGCATTGAGCGTCTGCCCCCTAGTGGTTATTGTGCATCATAGTGACTGGTTGGACACTTAGCATATTAGCCGTTTATATACATAGAAGATTAGTATAGCCATACTATCATCTAGTTCCTAGGACAGCTAAATAATGAGAATCTTCTGAAGGCAGGTTGTAGAGCACCCAGTTTTCTTTCAGAATAGACATGTGTTGTACCAAAAGTGACATGTGGCTGCCTGTCACAGAGTACAAAACCAATAGAAAAGTTACTTATTAATAAGCTTAAGTTATTTCTCAGTGTTGGATTAAATAAATGTGGTTTAAATGGTTTCTTTCCCCACCTCAGAGATATTCTGGTGTCTCTAATATGACAGTTTCCTACCACGATAGTTAGTGGAATATTTGTGTAATATTTGCTCAATAAATCCCCAAAGGAATGAGATGGAGAGTGGTTATTTAGAGCAGGAGTTGACAACCTTTTTAGATAAAGGACCAGATAATAAACATTTTAGGCTTTGAGAGCCATATAAACTGTGTCACAAGTACTCAACAGGAGGCATGTTGACGATGTATGTTGTGACTATATTTCATTAAAACATTTTTATGGGCACTGACTTTCAATTTCATGCAATTTTCACATGACAAAATATTATTCTGCTTTTTATTTTTTTCAACCTTTTAAAATGTAAAAATCATGCTTAGCTCATGGGTCATAAGAGTAGGGGCAACAAGATAAATGGTTCTTGCGACTTTGTGAAACCGTGGTTTAGAGTCATGTAAATCTTAGTGATAATGAACTTGTAGAGAATCTCAGCCTGAAGTTCCATAGGAGTGAATACACAACATCATTTCTAGTCGGTTGTCAGATTACAGTATGTTGTTAAAGAGTATGTTCATTTGTTTTGTTCCTTCAAGAAGCATTAAGTATCATATTTAAAGTCAAAGGTTTTGTTCCTTCTCTGACATGATTTTAATTGATGGAAGTTTAAATAGAAGAAGTTGGGTTTGCAAAAGATTCCACTGAGATATTTGAGGTCTGGTCATTTTAGCTACAGTGTCAGTAAGAATCACAGTGCTTTCTGGGTGGTCTTACTTATGATTTGATATACAATTTTTTAACAAGTTTTTTTGTTTGTTTGTTTTGTGTTTGTGTTTTTTTAGAGAGAGATAGGAAAGGAGAGAAACATCAATGTGAGAGATTAACATTGATAGGTTGCCTCCCAGGGATCAAACCCACAATCTAGGTATGTGCCCTGACCAGGAGTTGAACCTACCACCTCTTGATGTATGAGACAATGTGCCAACCAACTGAGCCACAGTTAGGGCTGATAAACAATTTTTTAAAATAACCTTTATTTTGGAAATTTGAAAGCAATGAAATACTTAAGGCACTGTAAAATACTTTTGTTTGAGTCCCACTGGCTAAATTCTGTGACTCTTTCCTGGGTTTCTATGTGTACTGATACATGAGGGAGCGTGTGTTCTCTGACATTCTAGAAGGTCAGAGGGATAAATAACAGCTTCTAACAGCATAGCATTTAAAGGGCAGGCTTCCAAGTTGGTTCAACGCAATTCTCTGCATTATTTACCAAGAAATGTAAATAGTAAATATCTAACCTAATTATTAAGCTATCTTTCATTTTTCTGTGATCAGCTGTATGTACAATTTCAAAATCGTTATTTACATGCAGACTGAACAGTGCAATAAAGCATGCGAAAAGGTAAATTTTTGGAATGACTTTATACTAATTTGTACCTACCATCCATCCAGCCTTAAATGAGGGGATCCCTCAATCTCAGCAGCACCATAGAGGGATTTCCTAGTAAGGTGAATGAAATCTGTGCTGTACATTAATTTACCTGGGGTCCATTCCCAAGAATGTCTCCTGGATGTCTGTGCTCCATCCCAGAATCAGTACTTTGCAACTAGCCTTGTTCTCTTCCCTAATTTAGGGAAGGTATGGGATAGAGTTAGGAGACCTGAAACAAGGTAAGTATATAGTAAACAGGAGAAGGAATCTAAGAGGAAAACCAAACTGAAGCTCCACTCCTCATTATATTGGAAATAGATACTTAGTGGGCACCAGCTCTATGTTGGAAACTTCCCATAAACTCAGTTGTTAAAATAAACAACAAGAGATAAAGGGACAAAAAAAACATGTCCCTTATTTAGCTAATGCACAGCAGGAAAGAAAGCCTGGGAAGCAACTACTTCAAAGCAATTAAGTGGACCAAGCGGTGCTTTGTTTTAAATGGATTTTTGTTTTATGTATTATGTCAGAGATAAGGTTGACTTGATTCCATGACAACAGCAAACTCTTCAAGCAGCATGGTCCTCTGCTCTTGACCCAGAATAACATGCAGCATATTGGTTGTGACTCTGGAAACTGGGGTGTCACTTCTGTTTTCCAGAAGGTGAAAATGTCACAGTTGCTTCTGAGCAATGCACTGCGACATCACCAGATGGAAGAGAGAAAACAACTCTCTTACTGTGGTTCTACTTAGTGAACTTCTGAACATTTATCGGAATGTGGTCAATTATTAGACAACCTATGCGATGATCAGAAAATACATGTTTCTGACTCAGCCTCCTGATCCTTTTCTCTTTCCATGTGATTCAGGAGGAAGGATGCTGGTTTCTTATCCTACAAAGATCACCTGCCGGTGAACCAGGTGGTGGTTGGAGACACCAACCGGCAAGGCTCAGAAGCAAAACTGAGTGTGGGCCCCCTGCGCTGCCAAGGAGACAGTAAGTTTGCCCAGCAGCTGGGGCTTTCACTTTCTTGGCAATTTTCTATAGTGTTTCTCAAAAAATCAGAGCATGGCAGAAAACAGACTGCTCTTCTCTAACTCCTACAGAAACATCTGACAATGCAAACAGTCCAGTGGAGAGCTAGATAGAACGTAACACATAGAAGAGGAGACAGCATAAAGTCTTCAGTCCAAGGAGCCTAGATCAGGGCATATCCATCTTCCTTGTACATTCATATCTAACAACTTTGACTACCTAAGTTTATGGTGATATGTAAATAGCAATGATGCTAATAGCATAAAAGCAGCACTCAACAGCTGTGATTCCACTGAGTGCTGCTGTTAATGCCATTAGCAGGACTATTGATAGCACCATAAACTGGGTTGATGGTGATATAAATAGTAGCATTATGGTTTCATGTATCACTGTAAACTTGGATTATGGTCATGTAAAGCTTGACATTATTGCTATCAAATTTCATCATCATCAAAGCTTGATAGTCTCTTGTAAGCCAAAGATGTTTTCTGTCACTATGTCTAGCTTTCCGGATTTGGTACCACAGAGAGGAATTGGGGGCTGCTGGCTTCTACTGTGGGAGGCTGGGAGTTAGAATGATGATCCCACCTAATTAGGGCACCATTAGGATTTTATGTTGTCTTATACCCTTCAGTGTGCTTCACGTGCCGTCAGAGGAAAAGGGTGACATTTTGCTATGAGGATTCTGCAAGGAGCATCCTGCATGTCATTTTCCCCTCTTCTTGTCTGTCCCCTGGGAGTTCTATGTGTGTGTGATTGTGTGTGAGGAATCAGGAGACCTAGATCTGTTCCCTGAATAACTGACTTGCCAGGACACCTCAGGCAAACTCCCCATTTGCTTGGCTGTGGCAATGAAAATACCACCTGCGTCCCAGCTCTTCCTGGGGAGGCCATAAAGATTTCAGTGCCTGCATCTGGATCCCTCCTAGCAAAGCATTCTGTGAGATGGAATATTATCACCACGTCCATAAATCAAGGGAGAATCAGACCTACTCGATGCAATAAACTATTGCGGCCACTCAGAGAGGTGTCCTAAGGAATGTAATGATTCATGTTAACTGTTTACTACTTAGTAAATCAAGGCTGTCTGCAATTAAACAAGGCAGTGTTCCTGATACAAAAGAGAGATGGAGTTGGAACTGATTTTTCTCTTCTTACCTGGAGAAAATGAAAGAACTACATATAAAATGGGGACTGGTCAAAAGAGCTTTATCATGCATTTATTAAGCAACAATATTTCATTTGTCTAGTCTGGCTTAGTAGAACTGTGCAATAAGGAATTTAGTTTCAACTGTTTAAGAAAAAGTATTGACATAAAATAATAATAAATGTGCATTTTTAAACAGAAATTTTGAGAGATGGAGTATAGTTTCACTCTCAGCCCTGGCCCATCTGGCTCATTTGGTTAGAGTATCATTCTGTGCACTGAAAGGTCGAGGTTCAATTCCCAGTCAGGGCACATGACTAGGTTGTAGGTTCAATCTCTGGGCAGGGCGTGTGTGAGAGGCAAATGATTCATTGTTTCTCACCTCTCCCCCCCTCCCCCGCATCTCTCCAACCCTCCCTCTTTCCCTTCCTCTCTCTCTAAAGTCAATAAAAAAATAATAATAAATAAAACAGACAGGTTCTTACATATTATCTAATGAAAATAATTTTCTTTATGTCACAATTACTCATTTATATATAGGTAAAATATTTCACACTTATCAGTTCTAATTCTGTAGTTAGCTTTGAATTAGGAAAGGGTTTCTATTAAGTAATTGATTAACTCAGTATAGTTATAAAAAACCCACTTCTGCAAACTTTTGTTACCGTTCTTAAAGTGAAGGTGATAGCTACGTTAAATAGTATATGTGGGAGTATATTACCAGTTGAGTAGCTTGTTTTCTCTTAATCAATTAAATCAGTCCTCAGGAATAATTTATTATGTGTCTGCTGTCTTTCTAGCACTTTACTAGGTACTCTGGGGGATAAGAAAAAGAAGTTCATTATATCTATGAGTCTGTTTCTGTTTTGTTTGTTCATTTATATTGTTCCTTAGATTCCACATATAAGTGGTAACTACGCAGTGTTTGTCTTTCTCTGACTAATTTATTTCACTTAGCATCATATCTTCTAGGTCCATCCATGCTGTCAGGGTAGGGTAGTTGGAGGACTGGGTGAAAAAGGTGACGGGATTGAGAAGTACAAATTGGTAGTTACAAAATAGTCACACTATAGTACTTTACATGTATGGTACCAGGTGGGTACTGGAAATTCCAGGGGGAACATTTTGTAAAGTATATAATGCCTAACCACTATGCCATACACCTAAAACTAGTACAAAATAATATTGAATGTTAAAAGAAATTAATAAAAAATAAAATTTAAAAAATTTTCTGCTAAAAAGAAAAGAGAAAGAAGTTCAAACCACATTTTAAGAAATATACATGAAAAAATATTGGAAAACACGAAATGTTTTATGATTTAATATTAGATTTTGTAATGTAAAATTATTGCAATTGATACTCAAGAAAGAAGTGATAACCAGTATATTTCAGGTAGACTTTATATTTAGAAAGAGAGGACAGGTAAAGTATGATGGGCAGTACATTTGCATTTCTTTCCCAAGGCTTTTGTTCTTATAGGCATTTTGAGGACAGTTGATAAGACAAAGAGCTATCTGATTCATCGACACTACACCGTTTCAGTATTCTCATAGTGCTCAGCTTCAGAGATTTGATCTGTGTTTTACCTGATACTCTGTGAAAATAAAAGCACAGCCAATATTTAATTGTAATTAGTAGAATACTTTTGTGTCTGAGAGAGAGAGAGAGAGAGAGAGAGAGACTTCCTTTCCTGCAGACAGCTGAGAATGTTATACCTCGTACCTGAATTGCCAAGTAGCAGTCAGCAGTTTTAATGCCCACCTTCACTTTACAGATGCTCTAACATGGATACACTAATGATGAGTGCTCCACATCATAGCATTTTCCAGTATTTACAAATGTATGATTTCCTTGGATAGAGAGCATCCCACCCCTGAGGTGCATAAGGTAAATATTAGCCTCTCTGTTTACAAATGAAAAAAGTATTTCTTTTAAAATGTCATTTACACAACAAATTTCTACACACCCTTGCAGCCTCCAGAAGGCTCCAGGAGGGATGACTGCAGAGAGCATAAGCGGCTCTTTCCACTCAGGGCAGGGTTGTTTCCCTGCTTCCACTGTCTTCCAGGAGTCAATTGCTGATCAGATTGGTTTAAAAAAATGTCACTTGGGTTTTATGCCTGCACCCCTCACACCCACTCACATCCATTTATCTATACAGCATGAATGTTGTGGGGAATAAAGTCCAGTTTTTATCATTTAAAAAGTGGTATAGTGCATTTATCTCTTGTTTGTGGAAATTAGCTTACTGTGATTTACTGAAGTCTATGCAAAGCTACAGTTTAAAAACCTAAATCTATTATTGAAAAATGTCTCTCTCTGTTTGAGCTGTTGAGTGATGACAGCCCCGGAAGCTGTCTCTTGAATTAGGTCCCGGTACTATCCCCCAGTCTCAGAGAATGAAACAATTTTTGTGGGCTCCGACCAAGCATTTCGGTGGTTTCGGTTCATTTCATCATGCCTGCTGACTTTCATTTTTACTTTGATTCATCTGAACTCGTAGGCCTATATAATCAAAATGCTAAAGAAAATCATTGAGTTCCACTCAAGTCTGCTGCATTTCCTACATAGTGCTGTGAAATGCCTTTTTTTTTTTTCAAATACTTTCAAATGGAAAACCTCCATTCTAAATGAAGCTAAAAGTGTGACTGGTGATGGATGGTTAACTATGATAAAAAAAAAATGCAGTAAAATTACAAATCCCCTCTTAAATCACGTGTCTACACCTAGAAAGAAACAAAAGAACTATTTAGACCAGGGGTCCTCAAACTACGGCCCGCGGGCCACATGCAAATATAAATATTGTATTTGTTCCCGTTTTGTTTTTTTTACTTCAAAATAAGATATGTGCAGTGTGCATAGGAATTTGTTCATAGTTTTTTTTTAAACTATAGTCCGGCCCTCCAATGGTCTGAGGGACAGTTAACTGGCCCCCTGTTTAAAAAGTTTGAGGACCCCTGATTTAGAGGTTCAAAATCACTGATAGAGTAGAATCTATTTTCAAATTTAAATATATAATCATTCTTGGAAGGGGCAGCTCAACTTTTATGGAATTAGTTCACAAAAGACATATTTTGGGTTTTGGAGGTAGAAGTCTTATTCAGACTATATATGGTGTGTATAATTAATTATAGAAGTAAAGTATTTGCTAGATAATTGCTCTATTCTTAAGCCATATGAGGTAAAGATTTCCCATATCTCCTGTAGGGATATAGGGACTTGAAGCAATTAGTTAGGAGCAAGTTCACTATGAAAGCATGTGTTTGCCATACACCTGGGTAGAAATCATTCAGGAAAAATGTGTTACTCAAGGATTTCTGAGTCCCTGCCAGCAACCTGCCTTGGCTGTCCAGGCAGAAGGCAGAGCATGTGAGCCATGCTGGAGGTTTCTATGCCAATTCAGTCTCTTAGAGCTGCAGGGCTGACTCTGAGACGCCCAGAGAGAAAGGGAAGCAGATAACACATTCAGTTCAGGAACCTTCAGCAGAGGCAAAGCCGGGCATAGAAAAGTAGAGATGGAATGGCGTTTTATCCAAATGAAAGTGGACACTGGTTCTTTGGGAATATAATCTTAGGTGCTAGGGTAATATAAAGGCCATGTTGTCTTTACTGCAAGACTTTACAAACCAAGACCATAACAAGCAGTTCCCTTACCAAGAAAGACAGGCCATGATTGTATCCACACGGCATTTCTTCACAGAGAAGACATTCCCAGAGGGCTGCAAATGACTATCCTCCTCCAGAGGATGTACCCAGCGGCACACAGAGGCCACACTGTCTTCCCGAGAGCATCTGTGTGAAGCACAGTCAGTG